TGTTGAAGTGACTCGTTTCTACTTCACGCGAGTCTAAAAACAAATAAAAGGAGTACCTTTCTGACTCAAGGTATTACACTTGAACTGCACGTCTTCCCAAAGACAAGCTAGAAGTAGAAGAGTCACACCAGAGATGAGCCAGAATCGAGGCAAACACACAATCTGAATCACTTGGCTACACATATACTGTACTGGAATGCTGTGGTGAACCACAAATCAAGGCAACCAGTTTCAATAATCTCACAACTAACAAGCACACTGGAGGTATAGCGAAAAAATGAATTCCCTTAGCTGACAAAACAAACTTAAAATAAAATAAACTCAGAAACGGACACCTCCAAAATGCCTTATTAGTCCTTTGAGTTTTGCAGCTAATGCTGGCAGATGATATTCCGCAACATCAGGCTTGTTGGCAATACAAAATACCCTAACAGGTTGGCAACTGGTCACTACAAAGTGCTTTAGATTGTTTGCCTGAAGATCGCTGTGGAGTTCTGGAACACTCCGGCCACAGCAAGTCTGGCAAACGTGTAACAGCCTATTCTCAAAATACTATTAAACTGGGCAGGGTTCTAGTTCTGCTTCTGAAATGCTGGCGATTGGTTTTGTGTTTTTATTTTTCACCTGAGAGTCCTTTGGTGCTGTAAGTCAACTCTTCTGAGATTAACAGAAAGGGGCGAATGCTCTACAGAAAAAACAAACTGCACAACCGTAATCAATCGATATCAGTCTCTGAAGTTCTGATGAAAATACAACATAAGAATAAAGTATAGAATTTCAATTTCTGAAAGCATATAGAATATAGTTATGTACACTATCTGTAAATGTTGCTTATATAGGGCTAGATATTGGTATATTACAAAACATTCAGACTTTTTAGGCTGCCCTTTTCTTTCAGTTTCACACACAGTTAAAGCACAGGTGTCAAACTCAGTTTTTCTTGAGAAGCGCAGCTCTGCACGGTTTAGTTTCAAGTCTATTTAAACACACCTAATTGAATTAATTAGGTCTTTCAGGCTTTTTGAAACCGATAACCTTTTTGAAACAAGTAACCCAGCAACATTTTTTGTGCCTAAAAGATGTCTCTTAAACAAGGCTAAATTTGGGCTCTCAGTGAACATCTGATAGATGTCTGATAGATGTCGGATAAACAGAAATGAATGACTACAGATATAAAGTCTGTCTAATCTGTCTATTTGACTAGTCTAGTTTTGGGCTATTCTTAGATGTCTATTAGATTTTCACTGACAGCCAAAGTTTAGCCTTGTTTTAGCTAAACTTGGGTTTTAGTTTAGTTAGTTTACTTGTTTTAGCTAAATTGGGGTTTTAGTTTAGTTTAGTTAGTTAGTAACTCTAATTAAACACACCTGATCAAATTAATTATGTCCTTTGGGCTTTTTGAAACCTACAGGTAACCCAGCAAGCAGTCTCTGCTGTTAAAAGATGTCTAATAGACGTCTCAATATAGTCGTGATAATCAAATAGACATCCAAGAATAGGCCAAAACTAGACTAGTCATCAAATTAACAGAAATGAATGACTACACATATATAGTCTGTCTACTCTGTCCAATTGATGACTAGTCTAGTTTGGGCTATTCTTAGATGTCTATTAGATTTTCACTGACACCTTAAGTTTAGCCTTGTTATAGCTAAACTTGGTTTGTAGTTGAGTTTCAACTCTAATTAAACACTCCTGATCAAATTAATTAGGTATTTCAGGCTTTTTGAAGACAGATGTCTAATAGACAACCAAACATAGTCGTCTTTGCTAAAACAAGGCTAAATGGCTGTTTGTTTGTTTTTTTTTTTTGACAAGGTTGTTAGTGAAAATCTAATAGACATCTAATAACTGGCCAAAACTAGACTAGAATAATAATAATCTATGCAGAGCTGCGGCCCTCCAGGTACTGAGTTTGACACCCATGCCTTAAAGGGACAATTCAACCAAAAATGAACATTTATACTCCATTTGCTCACCCTCTAAAGTTGGAGTCCAAAGAACTTCGGTTCTAAAGTTGTCTAAGCTTCTTTTTTTCTGCAGAACATGAAAGAGGACATTTAGAAGAATGTTGAAAACACATTGACTTCTATAGAAAAAAATATACTATTTAATAGGGATTAACAATGGCTTGGTTACCCATGTTTTATCTTCAGTGTTGTTCAGAAAAAAGAATCCTTTGGACAAATGGAGGATAAATATCATGACAGAGTTTTAGTTTTGGGTGAACTATCCCTTTAAAATATTAGATCACCCCAAATTGAGAATTCTGTCATAATTTACACATCTTCATCATTCTAAATCTTCAAAAGCAACAACATAACCACATTCTTTTCTTAAATCTGTTCATTTATTGAAAGTCTTTCAACACAAAACTCTGAATCGTCAATGAAGAGGTCAGAAATAAATCCATATGAGTTAAAAAGTGTAATCCAAGTCTACTGAATAGACACAATCGCTTTATAAAAATATTTTATTGACATATAAACACTAATAAGCAAGCAATGTGAAAAGCAATTGTGTTTCTATAGAAAATTTGGATTAAACCACTCTGGATTAAACCAAAATGCAGACCTTTACATACATTTTTGAACTGACTTCCAATGGATGAACAGAAACCACTCAGATTAATTAAAATGTCTTTAAGTGATGTTAAAATTATGACTATTTTAATTCTGGAGTGAACTAAAGCACTGTTTCTCAACCACATTCCTGGCAAACCACCAGCACTGCATGTTTTGGATGTCTCCTTTGTCTGTCACACCCATTACAGACCTTTCAGTCTCTTCTAATGAGCTGATGATCTGAATCAGGTGTGTTTGGTAAAGGAGACATGGAAAATGTGCTGAGCTGGAGGTCCTCCTGGAACATGGTTTAGAAACACTGAACTAAAGCATTCAGTGTGAGGGCTGGTTATCTACTCATGAGTCTCTCCTTTTCCAAAAATGCACCATCTTTTACAAAAAGAAACTTGCATAAAAAATAAGACGAGGAAACAAAACTGAATAAATGCAAATGTGCAAAAATACAAAACCTTGAACTCTAATAACATACAAATAAGCAAAGAAAATAACCAAAAAAATATATAATGTAATTAAAGCATGCAATTGGGAGTGTAGTGTTTTAAGGATGGTCCAATCCTCCTCAAGGAGGTACGGAATGATATGAGGATTCATGGAGTCTTCCTTGAGGAAGAGGAGTATAAAAAGATTAACATTTCCTCCTCGTGAGGAGTGAAATAGAAGGGAAGGTGAAAGAGTTTTACTCGCCAAAGAGTAGAGAGAAAGGCGTCCTCCACACAAAGGTTGCGTTTTGGATGTCCTCCAAAAAAAAGGAGAACAAATCAGGTCAGTTGATGGACAGCCAGAGCTGCTGGTGCAGATGTGGAGGTGTTGGGTTTGTACTGTACATATGCACGTATGTATGTGTGTGTGTGTGTGTGTGTGTGTGTGTGTGTGTGTTGGCACTCTCTACTGCTGCAACTTGCGGATGATCTCTGCAGAGACCGGCGGGTGGAAGTTGATGGTGTGGTGTCTGAGCCCCTGAGAGCTTTTGTAGCTTTTACCACACCGGCACTTGAAGGGCTTGCGAACGCGGATCTGAGTGCGGTGACCGTTCTTGGCATGGTATTTGATACCATTCACATTCTGCAAAAGAGAAACAACCATTATTATTATTATTATTATTATTATTATTATTATTATTATAATTATTATATATTTTTTAAATTAATCAAAACAAGCATAGGCCAAATGTTCAATTTAGGCAATAACTGACAAGAGAGAATTTTCTGTTCATGTGTTATTTACAATTGTGTTTTACTTATAATGAAAATTTAATTAATAAAAATAGATAAAATGCCATAAATGGAGTCTGATTAAAGACTGCTCAGTACACCATGGATCTGCTGTTTAAAATTGACAGTTGGAAGAACAAACCCTTTGAAGTAATGTTGTAGGATGTTAAAGTGAAAAGATGACCATTGAAGGCTCTTTTAGCTTTCAGTGGATTCATTTGAATTTTCACTAGTCTGAGTCTGGTTGAATTTTTCAGGTTACAACACTGTCAAAATGCTCCAAAAGTTCCACACAATTCCTTCATGTTGTCACTACACAAATTCATTGTTAACTTAATGGTTTTTACGAATTTAAGTGTATTAAACAGTTACTTAATATTGTCCCAACACAAATCAATTAAAAGGGTTTTCCACTACAATCTCATATTTTAAGCTTTAGTTGATGTGTAATGTAGCTGTGTGAACATAAACAACATCTCTGAACGTAAGATGCTCAAAGTTCAATGGAAGGGAGACCTTTGCTGCGTCCGAAACAGCATACTTCCATACTATACAGTACGCTAAAATCAGTTTGCGAGCTGAGTAGTATTTTGAAATTCATAGAATTCGAAAATCAGTATGCAAGAAGTACCAGGATGACTTACTACTGGCGAGATTCTGAAGTGCGCATCCCATGATGCCCTGTGAGAGAATTTATGAATGGAAGAGAAGCGACTCAACTGACGCAGGAAGGTCACGTGACCATGACAAAATGGCGGATGTAATACGTCAGAATTCCATTCATACTTTTCACATTCATACTGTATAGAACGTACTTTTCAAACGGCCGAGTAGTATGTTTAAATTCAAATGCAGTACCTACTGAGTAGTAGGCGGTTTCGGACGCAGCCCTTGCTGTTTCTCAATATGCGTTCTTCAGCGGTCTTGCATTCTCGTGTTCTTGTGTAACGTCATCTTCAGCTGCCAAAGTTCATTTTCAATACTCAAGACCGCAAGAACAGAGGACGCGTGAAACTTCCTAGATGTGTTTTAGATATCGAGGATGCACCGATGCAGACTTGAGCACCAATCTCGCTCTAGAAGTCCCAGAAGTCATTGCGACTGGATATGGGAAGCACAGCATTTTATTAAGATTTATTATTAAAGTTCAGTGATTTAACTTATTTACCTAAGCAGTTTCCCTAAATAAAATGGTGAATATAAACAATTCCATGGCATGGACATCTTAGTAAAGGAATAAACACATTTAAGGCTCCTACACACCGGGACTCTTTTTGTTTGTGTTTATAGTTAGAGTTTGTACGAGACGTTTTTCCGCATTCAAACCCAATCGATTTTTACTGGCGTCAAACAGAAGAGTATGCAACACTCCTTGATGTTAGATGGCACTACACAACTTTAAGCTTCCAACAGCCGCTTGTAACACAAGAAGTGAAAGAGAGGAAGTTCACGCGCTTGTTAGTAAAGTTACTCGTGACACGAACAAGCATGGATGGCTCAAGTAGCAGCTACAACTCTAGAGATGAAGAAATGATTATTGTTCACAAAGCAATAAGCAGCTTCACGTTCATATCGCCTCTGAGCATCTTCTTCAATTCACGCTCGCATTGACAGTTTTGCACTTGAGCACCTCCAAGTGCTGTTTACTGTAACTTCCGCAGCTCCGTGAACGTAAACAAAATTGCCGATCTGGTTGGTGGAGGTTTTAACGCGGTGCGTCAAATAAAAAAAAAACAAGCATAAGGCGTTTTTTTTTTGTAATTATGCTTTTGCGCCTGCCGTTTTGCGCGTTGTTGTGCACGATCACATTGACGCCCTTTATACAGTCACGAGGCATTAAACAGACGGAAAACGGGAGCAAAAAACGTCTCGGTGTGCACGGGTCCTAAGGGTGTCTGTTTGCTGAAATTCGTATTAGAGCTGTTTATTTATATTATACAACGTATATTTATAATGGTTTTATACATGGTATATATTGTGAAACGGGGAAAAACTAATGTTTTGTGTAATGTTTAAATAATTTTACATTTAAAACGCGTGAAGGTCATAACCATCATAAAGAATGAACAAAGTTTGGTGACTACAAAACAAACAAACAAACAAACAAAAAAACATTTGGGCCAGTGAGATTATAAACCCCTTCAGGTTACGTGCATACACCATGCACATATACTTTGCCCTGCAAAGGGGTGTGGGCAGAGGTGCTGTAATATAGCAGAGAAAGCTAAAATGGTATCCAAATGCTGCTTTTCCACGGAGCTTGTTCTGTTTCTGTATTCAGGCCTCCAAAGGACACAACACAAACTAGAGAAGTGCTTACAGTTAAATTTGAATTATTCTCCAAAGAATTATAAAAAACTATATAGCTAGCATTTGACAAAGGAGAACTTCCAGAATCTTATTCATTTCAGTGCTGGATTTGCCTAATACTTCACCAATCATAATAGAAGAAGCTGTGGATTGTGAGCCACAACCTGTAAGTATTTTTATTTGTTAAAATTGAACTATTACATGCACAATTTCTAGCATTAACGGTATGTTGTAGTGAGGACGTAAACAAGGATGTAAACAGCAGGAAATACTGTTTGGCACGGCTAACAATTTATCTATAAACTCATATCACTGTACAAATCTGTAGCTGTAAACACCCACAATCTTCAGCAACGCGGCAGTGTCTCTCCTTGTGGCAGCTTTCTGTGCATTCTAGATGTCAAATAACAAACTCGCGAAGGATGTGAGCGTTTCATATTACTTACACATGCTTATTCCGAATATGTGAAAAGAAAAAGACACTTGTCAGATGTTATTTTAGAGAGCAGGCGTGAGGTTCAGCTGTGTCCTCTGTGTCATTTTCTGTCGGATTCAGGCACAGATACCACTAAACGATTCACTGAATGACAGTTGTATATGATTAAATTAAGATATATGAAAAAATTATGTGAAAAAATAAGATTTTTTTTACAAGTGAAGCATGAGCACACAATGTGTTGCATCTTATAAACACAACAAGTCTTACAAATACTCATCCCTTTAAGTTAACTTAATTGTTTTTACAAATTTAAGTGGATTGAACATAAAACTTTTAAGTTGTCCAAAAAAAAAACAAAAAAACAACATAATTGTTTCAACAAGCAGGAAAAGTCATTGTTTGAGTAAAAAAATACTAACTATTAAGTTACAAGTAAATATTTATAAGCTGTAATAAGCTATATATATTGTTTCGATAGTCTACAGACCAGACCATCATTAGACAATAACTTGCCTAATTACCCAAACCTGCCTAGTTAACCTACTTAACTTAGTCAAGCTTTCAAATGTCACTTTAAGCTGTAAAGAAGTGTCTTGAAAAACATCTAGTAAAATATTAAGGTAAATATATAAAATATTATATATATTTATATGTATAAAATTTTATATCATCCTATAGACAATATTAATTTAGAAGTGAGATTTGTGAGGGCTGTACTCATTAACGCAGAGCCCTGTATATGTATAAACAAAAAGATCTGCAAGTAAAATTGTACTTAAATCTCTCCAGAACTATAAACCATCCAGTGTTGTGTGAAATTGTGAAGAAAAGTGTCAGCTGTTTGACAGAGGTGGAGACCAGCCACTGACTGAACCCAAATAAAGCCAAAATGAGAGCCACATCTAACAGTGCATCTGAACATGCAGAGACTCCCTGATGGCTGTCATCATCCATTTCCTCCGCTTCTTACCGAACACGGCTCTCACAGGCTGCACATCATTTATCTCAGCAGCCAGAACCAGATGGCAGTGGAAAATCTCATAAAACGCACAGGCCTTGCAGTGGACCGACTTTTAAAATGCATGCCGAGCTTCCAGTCCTGCTCCATTACAGCTCTTAGTGTTAATACACTCTTTCACAGTGAGAGTCCAGCATTTGCTGCTTGATCAGATTTGTGCCACTGCTGATCGCTCTTGGTTATGGATACACAGATGTGCCATAAATATGCTGTTTAGTAAAAGACTACGTTATTCTGTTAGTAAGTTAAGGCATTTCAATTTCAGCATAGATATTAACAATAGAAATGTTACTTGATCGATTAAGATGATTTCTGAAATAGTGTACTGGATTAATGCTTATTTAATGCTGTAATTATATTTTACAATGTAACTGTATTTTATCGTGATATTAAAGAAAGGTCTCAGATCATCCAAGATGTTAAAGAGAACAAAAAATTAACATTTTAACACTATATGCTCTTCCCCAGCGGTTCCAACCTTTATGAGTTGTCTTTATTCTGTTCAACTTAAAATATGATATTTTGAAGAATGCTGAAAACCTGTAACCATTGACTTCCACAGAAGGTAAAGCAACTATTGTTGACGCTAATGATTGCAGGTTTTCAGCTTTCCTCAAAATATCTTCTTTTGTGTTCAAAGAAAATAAAGAAAGCCAAACCAGTTTAGAACAAGTAAAGGTTAAGCAAATGATGACAGAATTGAATTGTTTGGGTGAACTATGCCTTTAAGTACATTTTTTACTTCAGTATATAAACTTAATGAAGATTTTTATATAAAAAATGTAATGGTTGTTAATTTAAAACATGCAAGTCAATGGTGTTCTGCATTTTAAAAGTCAAAAAACATACAGACTACACAGATTTAACCTTTTAAAAACGTATTTGGGGTTCCTAACAAATAGGTTGAACTAATGGTAATAATTGGAGATGGAAACGCAGCCATTTGACTAATCAGCTCTTTTTATTAGGGCTGCTTGATTATGGGAATCACAATCACAATTATTTTGGTCATAATTGTAATTTTTTAAAATAAATATTTCCCAAATGGTAAAGTAAATTTTCACAGTATTTCCTATAATATTTTTTCTTATTTTTAATATATTTTTAATATTTTTTCTTCTGGAGAAAGGATTATTTGTTTTATTTTGGCTAGAATGAAAGCCAAAATAAAAGGTTTAAAGGTTTTAAAAGGTTTTATTATGCTTTCTTGTATCTTCTTGGTTACTAGGTTACCAAAACTACAGTCAGCCACTTTAACAACTTGGAAACACACCTAATTCGCGTCTAGTATTTTTTGTGAACTTTAAAAAGATTTGTTTTACGTTAAGATGGAAACTCTTCTTCCATGTTCTACTTTTCAATTTAAGATAGCCCGAGAGTAAATGAACAAATTCTTTATTATAAAACTAGTAACTATTAAAGCAATCAAACAGAAGAATCCATGGTTTACAGTGAATTTGCATAGCAGAGTTCCAAAAAGAGCTCAACTTCAAAGAAAATCACAGAACTGTATTGAGGTAATTGATGCACAATCCGGTAGCAACAAAGTTAATTTTTTCTTTTGTTTTAGCATTTTTGTAACAGGTCACCAGCAAACAGCAAACTTTCTGGGGAGTTTGTTTTAGCTACAAAAAGCCTTTGAGCTACAACTGGTCCATGGCAATTACGCAATCTGTAGTTTTAGTTCTGGAACTTCACTTTCTTTGACATGTCATTCCCCCCCAACCCCCGGAACTTTTAGAAAATCATAAAAGCATGCAGCACACATTCTAAAGATTGACAAAATGACTTCCTCATCTGTGCTGTGCATTTGCTGAATAAAACAAACTCAACATCGTTTCTGTTTTTGTTAAGCGGACGCACATACCATATACACTCACCGACCACTTTATTAGGTACACCTATCCTACAGCTTGTTAACGCAAATTTCACCAATCACATGGCAGCAACTCAATGCATTTAGGCATGCAGACATGGTCAAGACGATCTGCTGCAGTTCAAACTGAGCATCAGAATGGAGTTAATTGTTTTAAGTGACTTTGAGCGGAGCTTGGTTGTTGGTGCCAGGTGGGCTGGTGTGTGTATTACAGAAACTGGGATCTGCGGATATTTTCACACACAACCATCTCTAGGGTTTACAGAGAATGGTCCGAAAACGAGAAAATATCCAGTGAGTGGCAGTTCTGTGGGTGCAAATGCCTTGTTGATTGCAGAGGTCAGAAGAAAATGGCCAGACTGGTTCTACCTGACAGAAAGGCAACAGTAACTTAAATAACCACTCGTTACAATCGAGGTTTGCAGAAGAGCATCTCTGAACACACAACACGTCTAACCTTAGGGTGGATGGGCTACAGCAGCAGAAGACCACACTGGGTGCCACTGCTGTCAGCTAAGAACAGGAAACTGAGGCTACAGTTTGCACAGGCTCCCCAAAACTGGACAATAAAAAATTAGAAAAAACGTTGCCTGGTCTGATGAGTCTAGATTTCTGCTGCGACATTCGGATGGTAGGCTCAGAATTAGGTGTCAACAACATGAAACCATGGATCCATCCTGCCTTGTATAAGGCTGGTGGTGGGGGTGTAATGGTGTTGGATATTTTCTTGGCACACTTTGGGCCCATTAGTACCAATTGAGCATTTTGTCACTGTCACAGCCTACCTGAGTATTGTTGCTGACCATGTCCACCCTATTATGACCACAGTGTACCTATCCTCTGATGGCTACTTCCAGCAGGATAACCCGCAATGTCATAATGTGTGAATCATCTCAGACTGGTCTCTTAAACATGACAATGAGTTCACTGTACCTAAATGGCCTCCACAGTCACCAGATCTAAACCCAATGGAGCACCTTTGGGATGTAGTGGAACTGAAGATTCGCATCTTGTGCAGTCAAATCTGCAGCAACTGCGTGATGCTATCATGTCAATTTGGACCAAAATCTTTGAGGAATAAAGTACTTCCAGTACCTTGTTGAATCTATGTCATGAAAGAAAGTAGTAAGGTATACCTAATAAAGTGGCCATTGAGTGCAAGTCGCTTGTTCTTGTTTTTATTCTGACAGATATTTATGAAACACAGCCGCGATCAATGTTGTATTTTTAGGGGGTACAGTGTCAGAACTTTTGGAAACAGTATACTGTCGCTTAGCCTTCTCAAACGTCTTTTTGCCCTCAAACGAAGCACAATAAAGAAGTATACAGGGGCCTTTAATGGTTATAAATTCACTGTAAACCAAGGTTTCACATGGCTTATAGCTTTTATAAATGGTTGTTTAATACACATAGAAAGGTTTCCCAAAATTTTACAACAGCTTAAAATACATCTCTACCAAGAAACAAGGGCTGGAACTACATATTTTATATCTTAAAAAAAAACTTTTTTTACCTTGTATCTCTTTTTGCATCCAGGCACAGGACATGCAAAGGGCTTCTCGTCACCGCCATTCATGCACATGGAACTGAGAATGTATTCGGAACTAATGGCACTTTCGGTGGTCCACGACTCATCACTGTCCGACTCTTCATATTCAGCCTCCTCCTCGTCATACTCGCTGCCTAAAAGAACACAGAGTAACAATTTAATAACTGATCATGTTACATTCCCAGATATTCAACAACTACACCAACAGAACCACAGAACAGCATTTCCCATGAGCCACTACAATATATACTGGTCGAGTTCTCTTTCTCATAGTACTCATCAGAGTACAGTATACAGCCAGCGAAGCATTTGTGTTTTATGAGAAAGAATCTGGAAGGCATAAGAAGGTCTAAAGGTTAATGCAGAGTAATAGTAAGATGCCAGCAATTTGGAGCAGTTTGTGTTCCAAACCCACAAAAAAAATGCCTAAAACGTCTAATTGTGGGAGAGAGAGAGTGCACATGTTGCAAGAGAAGTCCATGGGAAACAGCAGCTATGAAAAAAAAAGTCTGTAACTAATAATGTGATTATTTTATTATCCATATTACATCAAACAAGCACTGCAGGTTTAAAGAGGGTACTACTTAAAATTCATCATTCTAAGATGAATTCCGGATTTGTTCAAATTAGGTTTCTATTTTATTACACGCAGGTTTGTACCAGAGTTACAGGTGCAGTAGGTGATTGTCTTCAGAAACATTTTTTTTTTTTTTGTGCTGGTTTAAAGTCTCTTCACAGTCCAATAGTAAAGATTCAAGTAAATTATCTAAATGTATTGAGGCAATGGCGCAGTGGGTTGGTAGGCTGGTTCAAACCTTGGCTGGGTCAGCTGGCGTTTCTGTGTGGAGTTTGCATGTTAATGTTTCCTCTGGGTGCTCCGGTTTCCCCCACAGTCCATGGACATGCAGTACAGGTTAATTGGGTAGGCTAAATTGTCCGTAGTGTATGAGTGTGAATGAGTGTGTGTGTGAATGTTTCCCAGAGATGGGTTGCAGCTGGAAGGCCATTCGCTGATTAAAAACATGCTGGTTAGGTTGGCAATTCATTCCGTTGTGGCGACCCCGGATTAGTACAGAGACTGATGTATTTTTATATTCTGGGTAAGGCATAAAACTAAAAAAGGTTCATCCAACTAAATATTGTTGGGCCGACATCTCCCATTATTCCGAAGTAGCCCAAACTATATGTCAGAAAATGTATATTCGGACTTCTGCGCATCTGTTAACGCAGATCCGCCATTCGTGCGTGCCCGCCTGCATAAGCGCCGCACGTTCACGAGACAATCACAGATGCGGTAAAATCAAATGCTCAATTGAAACTTTTGAAAATCAATATTGGAGTTACTTTTGCACGCTGGAAGAAGGACGACACCATGGCTGAAGTATTACTGTTAGACAGGTAATGTTCCGTTTTAAAATGATTTTAGTCAGGCTAAGGTTATGTTAAATTGTGTTGTGCACAGATGTGTTGTTCAGCCACTGAAATGTCTCGGTGAAAGATATATGTGACTATTTTCAGTTTTATAAGGGACCTTTGACAGCATCGATAATGTAGATTTTTATTTTGTTAAACAACAAAACATCAACAAATAGCGCTATTCAGTCTAACCTGCTTTATTGAGCTGAAGTTGCTTTTATATTAACAGTGGTTCATTTTTGAGCAATTACATAATTCCTATACTGTTTACCATGCTACTCTGACCATTTTCTCTGAAATAGCATGTAAGTATGGCTTAGTAATAAATGTAATTCCTGCACGCAGCCGGCCAAACACTAACTAACAAAAAATGGTAATACTTAATTTTAAAGGTTCAAGAAACCCTGGAGTACTTTTTTGAGGTTCTAACATATTTGTGTGTGTTGAGCATCATTTAAGACAGCGTTAGCACCTGTCAGGTTTAATTGTGGGGAAAACTGGATAATTTTAAGCTTTTGTCAGCTAATTTCCTCTTCCGGGTTTAAAATCATTTTTGGGGCGGGATCAAAATCGGTAATGTAGCACACATCTGCTGGTGGAGTGATGACTATTCGGTTTCTCATTATTATTCATAGCAGAGTTTTCCTTTCCTTTGAGAAGACCCTGCTTCTTAATTATTCATGAGAGCATGTGCTTTTCGAAGACAAGGCAGACCAGCCAAGCTATAAGACCCAATGACGGGCTGAGACTGCGTCTGCGCACAGCTTTTCATGAAGGGTCGTATGTGTTTGTTTCTATGATTCACTTAGTTTGTTGCATGTTATTCCCCGTGATGCTGTCAGGGCCAATACAGCAAAGTTGTTGGTTTGCAGCAATCATTTTTGTCGGGAGAGAATGGCTAACTTTGTCTTTTATCAGTTGAGTTTGTAACCATTCAGACACCTAACCTATATCGGTGCTGCTGTGTTTGGCTATGTTTTAAAAGTGTCTGGATTACCGGCAGGATTAATGGTTGAAATAGATAGGGCAAGAGACTTGCTGCACTACTATCCACTGTGTCTGCATTCAGACCCGGTGATTGAGGAGGAGAGAAGTCCTTCTCATTTATAGTGGTTATATAAACACAATTATCTTTATAATGATATAGATAAATACAAATAGCATTTGTAGCAGGACATTAAATTATGGTTTATTTCTTTGCATTTTAACTTTGTAAACTATAAAATCATGGTTCTTCCCATAATATGTCTCAATTTGTGAGCCAACTGACAGTTGCTCGCTCTCCTTTTTCTCCCATGCTCTGCTGCCACGTCCACTCCTCCCTCTGCTCGCAGCGCTCCACGCCCATCACTGAGCTTCTTTTTTTTTTTTATTCTGAGGTAGACTTGAACCAAAAGAGGGGGGTTTCATGGCCCTTTAGGTCACATGGCCCTTTTATTAAAGCCCAGCTCACACTATTATATTTCAGCCACAATTTTTTCATCAGAGACAAATTTGAGAAATCCTAATAGATTCCTGAAATACTAGACTAAAATCTGTGCTCTTTGATTGTTGGTTTGACATGTTCATAGACAGCCACTTAGAGTCCGTTGTGATCAGATTTTTTTCTCTGATAAAGTTCTGGCAGCGTCAGAAGATTTCAGACACTTTCCTGCAGTGTGACAACAGCTGCGATCAGCGTCAATTCAAGAACCAATAGAAGCTGATGATTGACTGATTAATGATTCAATCCACACGACAATTCAAATGACCGCAGGGAAATATCAAAACAGTTTTTTTCTTCCTGGTTTTTTTATTAAGACACGCCATGTAAAAAAATTGCTTATTTTTTGTTTATGTTTGCTGTCAGGAATTATTTCAGAAGGCTGAATAGTGAAAGTGTCAAGCGTGGATGTCGTCAAACTCCGGGATCGTTTTCTTTCGTGCTTGGCACATCTTCATTGTCATGACTTTATGACAGCTGAGATCTTACTGTGTGACATCAGAGCCATGTTCATGCAGTCTGACATGCTACAATTGTTCAGGAATATAGAAAAAAAGCACAGTGTGAGCCAGCCTTTAGACTAATAGTTAAAAATTACTAATTATAAAAAACTACTAATCTGCTTATTAGTGCTTATTTAGGTAGTGTGTAGGATTAATGATATAGAATGAGATCATACATAATGAGTACTAATAAATAGTTAATATATTAAGAATAAACCGGCAATAATCCAGTAGTTAATACAATGAATTGTGACAAAGTAAAGTGTTACCCAAAAACTAAGCCAAAACAGCGTAAAATCAGTGCTAATTCTAAAACTTCAAACAATACATATATAAAAAGCTAAGCTGCAATAGCCACAGTAATTTAATATACATTGGAAGCATCCAAGGAGTATGTTTTTTCACATGTGTACCTGTCGGGGTGCTGCTCCTGAATGAAGATGATGGTGTAATGGGCGGAGTCACAGGCGGGGTGAGGTTGCCGCTGTTGTGTCGAGGGGGTGTGGCCACACTGCTGCGTGACAGGCTGCCCATCAGTGAGAGTGACAGCTTTGGCTGAACTTTCTTCTTCAATGATTCATGCTCGCGTCGCGCTGCATCTGTCATAAACCTGGGGAGAAAGGTGAACTTTAATAGATGCTTTTAACCTCACACCAAATTACAGTGAACACAAAACTACGACTGGAGCTGGAATTGCCAACCCAGGCTCATTCTGAAAGCGTACCGCTATATACATTTCCGCAGAGCACCAAATGTGTCCCAGGAGCAGTTTTTTTGCGGTTTTTGTTTTCGCGAATCCACCAGAGGATGCTGTGTATGCTTTTTCAGATCTCAAATTTCTCTTGGGAGTGCCACTCACGCCTGCTCTTCTCATGTAAATTCACCAGAGGCCACTGTGGACTGACTGATCCACCCTCCTCCTTCCCTAAACCCTGCTCGATTATGGGAAAAATCATAATCAAGATTTTTTGATCATAATTGAAATCACGATCAGTTGAAGTCAAAATTATTCGCCCTCCTTTGAATTTATTTTTATATATAAATATTTCCCAAATGATGTTTAACAGAGGACTTTTTTACAGTATTTTCAATAATATTTTTTTTTTCTGGAGAAAGGCTTATTTGTTTTTATTTCAGCTAGAATGAAAGCAGGTTTAAATATTTTAATGGCTCGATATTATTAGCCCCTTGAAGCAATATATATTTGTTTGATTGACTGCAGAAGAAACCATGTTATACAATGACTTGCCTAATTACTCTATCTAATTAAGCCTTTGAATATCACTTTAAGCTGAATACTAGTATCTTGAAAAATGTCTAGTAAAATATAATGTGCTGTCATCATAGCAAAGATAAAATAAATCAGTTATTAGAAATGAGTAATTAAATCTGTTATGTTTAAACTGAGCTTTAAGCATCTTCACTGTATTTTTGATTTTATTATTGATTAATAATAAAAACAGTCGGCAACAGCAGGAATATTGCACGCTGTCACTTAAGGAATAGTGCGGCTCCGATATGGTTTCTCTTTCACGTTTCTTTTGATTCTCAACTTGTTTGTTTATTACACAAATGAGGGTTAATATGAATATTCACTAAACCCCGCGCTCTGACACAAATGTGCATGTATTTGACCATTAAAGGTTCAGGACACCCTGGAGAACTTTTTTTTTTTTATATTAACAGATGTGTGTGTGTGTTGAGCATCAGTTAAGACAATGTTAGCACCTGTCAGCTTTAATTGTGGGGGAAACTGGATAATTTTGAGCTTTTGTCAGCTAATTTCAGCTTCCGGGTTTGAAATCATTTTTGGGGCTGGATCAAAATCGGCGACGTAGCACAGTACTGCAAGTGCAATGATGACGGGTCGGTTTCTCATTATTATTCATATTGGAGTTTTCTTATCCTACAGGGCTGATAGTGGAAAAAAATTCCTGAGCCTGAACTTTTTTTCCTTGCCCCTGAGGTAAGTAGGGGTGGGGGTACTTTGTATGCAACGCACTTTTAACACATAACTTGTGGGCCCCTGGGCCCAAATATATTAACAGCCTATGTGTAACCCTGATCATTATTATTGTCAAGTGGCTCTTTTTAGACACATGCCAGTAATGTCAGTGACACATGCCAGTGTCAGTGATCTTGTGACATGTGCCAGTAGGTGTCAGTATAAGCACGTTATAAGCACATTAATCTTATAAGTCTCTTTGCTTTAATATTTAAAAATCATTAGGCAAATGACACCTGTTATCTTACATGCATATATGTTATGAGTTTTCAACATGCATTTTATTATAACTTTTTAAAGGATATTATTTAAAATACCTTAAAATGAAATTAAGTTAAATAATAAAATAAATTAATGAATTAAAAACATAGAGAAGTCCATATTGTAGGGAACAAAGGAACTGCCAGGATGCAATAATATACAGTACAACAGATAAGTGTAACCCCTCCCATACATAAGCATGCCACAATAAATTTGGCTGACATGTACTGTCAAATGACTATATTACGTACGGAAGTATGACTACGAATACATAAAATAAATGCGTTTAAATTAAAACATCGTGGAGTAGCTCAGCAAATAAACTAACTTGCGACGCGATAAATTAGGTTAAAAGTCACGTAATGATTAAATATGGTTTTGCTCATGTTAATTAATGTCATAAGCTTCGCCGGGTGTCGATGTCACTGCAGTGACATGCAGCACGACACTCTGAGAGACACAGGTCACTACACATGCCACTAACGAATGACACATGACAGTGGAAAACCGGACGTGCCACCGGAAGTGTCACTACACTCAGTGGCATGTGCCAGTGTCATCTGTACGTCAGATGTCATGTCACTCCATGTTAAAACTGCTACTGTGAATCTGCGTTTAAGCGCACACAATAAGCTAAAACTCGCCCCAAGCACCGGCAAAAACAAATAACAATTAATGTGTCGAGGAAAGAGTAAGGACATATCTTAATTATTTATTAATAAGCTTATTCTGAGTCAGAGTCGCAAAGATCCTGACTGGCAATCTCCTCTTGGACTCCCCTTTAGAGAGAAATTCATCTTTACGGATTACATGAAGGAGTTTTTTTGTTTTCGATTTGTTTTATTTCGTTAAGTAATAATTTAGAGCTTTCTATAAATATATTTATTATGTCTGTGAGGCATATACATTTTGCTTCATTTTGTTAAGCGCTCCTGTTCAAAAACCAGACGACAGAAAGCGCATAATTTTGGTTTTCTTTATTTTATAAAAACGCTGTAACGTTTTTTGATGTATTACTCGTACTTTGTGAGCAAAAATGACGGATAACTTTAAATTGCTCCCACTGAAAAAATGCAAGTGATTGCTCTGGCGCCTCGATGTCCTGCAAGCTTTTTATAAGCAAACTATGCGCCTAATAGCACACATTCTTTAACGTTTAAGCTGCCATTGTTTTATACTTGAACTGTTTTATATCTTTTATTTTAAGCAAGTCGTGATGATCTGAGAAGGCAAACTGATCAAACAGACAATGATGGTCTTCCGCTGGGCGCTGTTCGTTAAAAAAAAACTTATTTTTAACGAATAAAAAAATGCTCCAAACGTTTTTCTAAATAAGCTGAATAAAAAACGAAACTAAATATAAACACTTTGCTATTAGGCTACATACAAAACTGAACTATTTCATAGCTGAAACACTAAGTTGTTTAAGGAGAAGGGGGAAATATATTTTTGTCCCGTCTATTGCTTTACCGTTATTTCGAGAATAAACCCAGCGTAAATATGCAGATGTCATTCCCAAAACATATCAGCGTATATGTGCCGAAAACAAAAGTTTCATACAAATTCTGAATGGATTATAGCCTGGAAAGTGCAAAGCACGCTCCTCTTATTATCACTAAAAAGCGTCACTAATCTTAGTTCATAGAGATCTCACAAAGATCCGTTATAATTTATAAAGCTCTCTAAATTACACAATTAATCTTTTATTTACATGGCGTCTACACTCAAAAGATGATTCACGAGCACACAAAATGGCACTTAATAAAAACCAATCCGGCGCTTTCAGCAGTGAGTGAATTCTGTGAATCTAGAGAAATGACAGATCAATAGTCGTGAACCTGATTTTTTTTTCCCCCGCAGCCACAGTACGCCGGAAATCCGGCGTGGTGCCGGAACGCTATCACCCCTGATCCTATGAGAAAAGCCAGCTGTTTAATTATTCATGAGAGCACGTGATTTCCGAAGGCAGACCTGCCAGTTTCAAGCAAGCTGTGAGACACAGACCAACGGCATGCAGTAGCCGTTCATTAAGGCTCGTATGTGTTTGTTTCCATGATCCACGCGGTTTGTTGCATGTTTTTTTCTCTGCGATCTTGTCAGGGCCGATCATACAGCAAAGCTGTGTGTGTGCTGCAAGCATTTTTGTCGGGAGAGCAGTGCGACAATTGAAGAATGGCGGACGTTGACTTTAATCAGGAGTTCGTTCACATTCAGACACATCGCCGTGCTGCTGTGTTTGCCTAAATCCTCTATATTACCAGCAGGGCTAATGGTTAAAGTAGACAGGTCAGGAGACCTGCTGCACTGAGTCTGCATTCAAGATCTATAATTTACACACGGGGATTGAGGGAGAATCCTCATTTATAGCGTTTACATGAACACACTTATCTTTATAATGATATAAATTGTGGTTATGTGTATATGAAATTATGAATAAAAAATGTAGCAGGGCATTAAATTACTGTTTATTTCTTAGCATTTTAACTTTGTGAACTATAAACTCATGCGTCTCCTCACAGTTTGTGTCTCATTTTGTGAGCTAACTGTCAACAACAGTTATTCGCTCCCCTTCTCCTCTGCTGGCCACGCCCACTCCTGCCCGATGCTCGCGGAGCTCCACGCCCATTATTCATGCATCTTTTGAAAAAATTCTGAAGTAGACTTTAACCGAAAGTGAGGGGTGTCATGGCCCTTTAAAGAGATCACATTAAGATGGGGTTAGATGTGTGTATGCTCTGCTGTCCGAGGCAAAGCGCGGCGTGTGCCACAGCCATATCACCCTGCAGCCCAAGACCGGTTACTCACTGAAGCTAAGCAGGGCTGAACCTGGTTAGTACCTGGATGGGAGACCACTAGGGAACACTAGGTTGCTGTTGGAAGTGGTGTTAGTGAGGCCAGCAGGGGGCACTCAAGTCCTAATGCCCCAGTAAAAGTGAAGGGGACACTACACTGTCAGTGTGCGCCGTCTTTCGGATGAGACGTTAAACCGAGGTCCTGACTCTCTGTGGTCATTAAAAATCCCATGGCACTTCTCGTGAAAGAGCAGGGGTGTAACCCCAGTGTCCTGGCCAAAGTCCCTCTATCGGCCCATACGATCATGGCCTCCCAATCACTGTCTCTCCACTCCACCAATAGCTGGTGTGTGGTGAGCGCACTGGCGCCGTTGTCCTGTGGCTGCCGTCGCATCATTCAAGTGGTAGATGCGCATGCTGTGCTGCAAAAGTTACATTACAGCACATGCTTTTAATCATTTTCACGTGGAACGGACTTTGCAGAGCAACACGTGTACAACTGGAAAGAGGGCGGTATGTGATGGAATAATCGTTTATCTCAATTAATGGTTT